TGAAGTAGAGTGTGTGCTCCCACTCAGACTTTCGAAGAACAGATCTCGCTTTTGTTAGTGCGAGCTTTGAGGGATAACATTTGCTTTCATTGATTGCCAAAGTAAATAGTATGCTTCCACCGGGACTTCCGAGGGACAACCCTTGCTTTGATTTGGACTTCCAAGGAACAAACCTCGTTTCCATCAGTGCGAGCCTCAAGGATCTTTCTTGCTGAAATAGAGTGTGTTCTTTTACTCAGACTTTCAAAGAGTGTTTCTTGCTGAAGTAGAGTGTGTGCTCTCACTCGGACTTCCGAAGAATTGCCCTTACTTCCGTCAATGCAAGCTTCGAGAGTCTTTATTGTTAAAACAGAGTGTGTGTTCCCACTCGGACTTCCAAAGAATAGCCCTTGCTTCCATCAATGCGAGCTTTAAAGATCTTTCTTGCTGAAGTAGAGTGTATACTCGCACTCAGACTTTCGAAGAACATATTTCACTTCTATTAATGTGAGCTGCGAGGATCTTTTTCACTAAAGTAGTGCTCCTACTTGGGCTTTCGAAGAACAACCCTTGAGACTCGGTTGCCTGTCAGAGGAGATCTTCTTTTGCCAAAGTAGAGTGTGTGCTACTTTTGGACTCCAGATGAACAACCTTGCTTTCGTTTGGACTTTCGAGTAACAGCCCTTGCCTTCATTAGAACGGGTTTTGAGGACCCTAGGGTCGTGGAGTTCTCACCCGGATTTTCGAAGGTCAACCTTTGCTTCCATTCAGACTTCCGAGGGACAGCTCTTGCTTTCATTAGTGCGAGTCCGAAGAACAACCCTTGTTTTCATCAGTGTGAGCTTCGAAGATCTTTCTTGCCGAAGTAGGGTGTGTGCTACTATTCGGACTCCTGAGGGGCAGCCTTGCTTCTGTTCGAACTTCCGAAGGATAGCCCTTACTCTCATTAGTGCGGGTTCTGAGGGCTCCGAGGTCACGGCCTTTGTTTCCATTAGTTTCCAAAGTAGAAGTGTGCATCCACTTGAACTTCCAAGGGACAGCCTTGCTTCCACTTGGATTTCTGAGAGACAATCTTTACTTCTGTTGGTACAAACTTAGTAGATGCAGTTGCCTTCCAGAGGTATCTTTCTTGCCAAAGTAGAGTGTGTGCTACTAATCGGACTCATGAGGGACAACCTTGCTTCCACTTGGATTTCCGAAGAACAACCCTTTGTCTTCATTAGTGTAAGTTTCAAGGGCCCTGAGGTGGTGGACTTCTTACGAAAAGGTCCATTTAGCTGAAATAATAAAATCGAGCAATGAGGTATCCACAAGTTCAATAATCAACAATATATGATTCTACTCTCTGCTATGGCACTTCATCATTTCAAACAAATTGTTTGCTAAGTTCGGGTATCAAGAATTCTTTCACCGAGTACATGAAAGTCAAGTATGATGTTCTTACATTATCAATAAACAACAAGATCATTCTACTTTTATGAGGTCGATGCTATTGTTTCAATATTCTTAGTAGCAGCAACAATCAACACACAAGGGCTTATTTTCTACAAACAATCAATTATTTAACAACAAGAGTTCAACAGTAACTATTCCAACATTCACAAGGATGGCAATGAATAAATTCACATGAGACAACCAGCGAATGCTCAATATTTTTTAATAGTTCTATTTGTATCAAAATTATCAAGGCACGGGCTCAGGCTTTAAATATCAGGAGGAGTGCAATGTCATGGTGTGTTTTTATCTTGCAAAATCAGCAGTGAAATTCAACAGCCCAGATTTGAAGATTTATCTAGTGGGGTTTCGATGGTGTTGCTTGGAGCTGCGACGGCCAGCATGTAAATGACGATAGTCTCTGTTTCATTAAAGAAGAAGAGAGCTGGGTTGGTCTCTGTTTTAGAGAGAGAGAGAGAGAGAGAGAGAGAGAGTAGGCTCAGAATAGGGTTTGTTCCTCTGATGGCCTAAGAATATATGTATTTATAATGGGCCTTGAAGATTTTAGAGAAGAAAAAAAATGTGGGCTTCCAGAATTTGCCTTGAAGTAAGAAATATGGGCCTTAGTTATTATAAAATAATCAATCAGAGAATTTGGAGTTGGTTGAAGAATTAAAAGAAAAAAAAAACCAAGCTTGACTTTAAAAATAATAAAAAAAAAAAATGTGGCACAAATAATGTGGTCCCAAACATGGCGTAGGGGCAAAAAAAAAAGTTTTTTTTTACTTGTCGATTTTATCCGTAAATTACGGTGAGTCCTCACTTTATCCATAGACTCTGTCAAGACCAAATATTTCCAAAGATGTAACGTGAAGCATGTCTGAAAATGTGAAATTATGCATGTCCGAGAAAACTAAAATTTCTCATATACGCAAGGGGCAAATGTAAGAAGAGCTAATTTGAGCCCACTAAATTAATTAGACCCAATAATCCAAGGTTGGTGGGCCCAAATTTATCGCAAGTCCAAGATTGGTGGGCCCGAATTTATCGCCATTAAACGGGCTGAATCGTTCTAAGCCTCGAAAGGGTTCGGATCCACAAACTTAGAGACTTACTAGAGCCCGGACTCGAAAGGGTATTGAGCAAGCCTAGAGATCTGAGGCACTCGGACTCGAAAGGGTTCGGATCCACTAACCTAGAGATCCGAAGCACTTGGTTTCGAACGAATTCAGGCGTAATCTAGAAGTCGCTCCATTAATGAGTCCCAGAACACTTGTGGGCTCGGAGCTTTCCGAAATCTACGCACCAAAACCATGGGCATAATGGAGTTCGAACAAAGGACGTTCTCTTGAACTACCCCTGACCTTTCTGCGACAGGACGTCCTCTGGGACTACCCCTAACCCATTGGGATGATTGGGGATCATTGATTAGGTGTGGCTAAGAAGAAGGGTTCGCCGAGAGCTTGATCTCCTCTTCGAGGGTTTTCCTCATCCTTGAAGAGGTTACCTCCTCAAACAAGGTGGTTAGAGAGAATGGATTTTGGAGATCTATGAGAATGGGTTTTCCTCATCCATCCTACATCATGAAGTGCCTATAAATAGCACCCACCCATAGCTTTACAAGGAATGGATTTTAGAGAGATGAGTCTTGGGAAAGAACTAATTTCCCATCTCCATTATTAACCTTGAGAGTGAAAGTGGGAGATCTATGGGTGAGCCTTGCTATTATCCTCTCTCTAACTACTTTGCCTTCTTCTTCACCCAACCTCTTATCTCTATCATCTCTTTGCTCTTATGTTTTTAGTTGAGACTATTGAAGAATCTAAGTCTCTCATCATCTTCTAGAGAATTCGAATTTTTCTTCAAGTATCTTTGAAGATCTTCGAATTTTCCAACGACGTTCTTGAATCCTATCATACATAAATAAATGTGTAATATTTTACAAATAAATTGTTGAATGTGTGATATGTGTCATATTTCAACAGACAATTATGGTGAAATCAACAGATATACGTATATATTGATTTCAATAGATAAATAGATAAGTTAATTTCAGTTAATTGTTATTTTGGAAAAATTGTATCTTTTTTATCCAAAAAAAAGTTAAAGTTTAGACAGAATTGCGCAAAAAATTGAAAAGTAAACTTATGATGTGAATTGAAATACCTAATCCATAAAGTAGAAGTACTTAAAATTTGATAGTAAAATTTAATTAAATGCTAAAAATATTTTAAGAAATCATATAATGACCCTGTTTGGTAGAACTTATTTCCAGTTTATTTCAGTTTTTAACTTAATTTAAGCTATTTTGATGTGTTTGGTTCAGCTTAACAATACAGCTTATAACTTTTTATAAGTCAAAAATCAACTTATTCTTTGAGTGTGGGAGGAGAAACTTAATTTATAAGTCAAAAATCAGCTTATGTTCACAATTATAAGGTATAAACTGTTAAATTATAAGTTATAATCACTTTTTCACAGCTCTACCAAACGGGGCCAATGATGAGAGTCCAACCGATGTACACATATCTCTATTTTTGCGCGCAGCACAATCAATGGTGGTAGTGAAGTAAGTGATGTTTTGAGAAGTTGATAAAAAGTTGATTTGTGAAATTTTTATTTGTTTTTTTTTATTTATGGTTTTTTGGCTTTTCTATGTTAAAAGAGTTAGGCTAAGTTTGAGATAACCCAAAAAAGTTAAAAAGTCACTATCATATTTAGGGTTGGTTTGGGAAGTGGGTTGACTTTTTGGCTTTTTGAATTTTTTGGCTATTTTAGCCTGGGCTAAAAAGCTTGGTTTGAGAAGGACTTTTTGGCTTTATAACTTTTTTGATTTTTTTTTTGTGAGAGAAGAGTGTAATGATTATGGATTAGATGAGATGTTTTGTTTGTTGTGGCTAAAATAACATATTTTGTCTTTTATGGCTATTTTAGCCACAAACCATCTTGCCAAACGAATCCTTAGTGTCATATCATCGTATTTAAGTCACATCATTTCTCTACCACATCACATCAAATCTAATCCATATTTCAAAAAATTTAAAAAGTACACTTATTTAGATCATTCCAAACAACCGTTTAATTTTTTTGTCATTTTTTAGTATAAAAAAATTAAAAATCCAAAATTTTAATTTATAAAAAATTTAAGGTGTGTTTAGTTTGGTTTTGAGAGATAAATTTTCAAAAAATATTTTGGAGAGAAAGTTTAGAAATTTTTTTAGTTTGTTTGGTTATATATTTTAAAAATAGCTTTGGCGTATTAGAGTTTGGGATGACATGATTTGATATTTTGTTATAATTGAGTAGATGTGTGTGAGAGAAAAAGTAATTGAGAATGAGAGAAAAAAAAAGTGATTGATTGATATGTAGGAGAGAGAAATTGATTTTGAAATTTTTTTTTTTCAAAATCATTAAACCAAATAAAATTTTAAAAAAAAAATTTCAAAATTGCTCTCCCAAAAACAAACCAAACAATGCCTTAATTTTTTTATAAGTGTCCCAAAAAACACCCTGAGTGGTCCATGAAGGACATCATTATCATGACTCCGACTCAGAAATATTTTATACTCCCTCAGTCCTACCCAAAATATAAAAGAACAGAAAAGAAAAGAAAAAGAACAGTTAGCACAACAAAGAATAAGTCTTCAGCTCGACATACCCCCAGTATCTCGTTTCGGTCTCCGATCTTCAAATCCAAATTTGAACAACCCAACCCAAGCAAAACACACACACATACACACTAGTAGAGAGATAAGACTAGTATTTGGACTGATGATAATGGGTCGATTTGGAGAGAGGTTAGTGGCGTTTTTCAACAACAGATGGCTGGTTTTTGTGGCCGCAATGTGGATGCAATCATGTGCGGGTATTGGGTACTTGTTTGGGAGTATATCGCCTGTGATTAAGAGCTCTATGAACTACAATCAGAAGCAAATTGCGAGATTGGGTGTTGCCAAAGACCTCGGGGACAGTGTTGGGTTCTTGGCTGGGACTTTGTGTGAGGTCTTGCCTTTATGGGCTGCTCTTCTTGTTGGTGCTTTGCAGAACTTTGTTGGGTATGGTTGGGTTTGGCTGATCATCACTGGCCGAGCTCCTGCTTTGCCTTTGTGGGCTGTGAGTATCATCATCCATTCGATTCGGTTCTATCTTTGCATCTATCTTCCTTCTTTTTTGATGACTTTTTTTTTTTTTTTCTTCTTTTCACTTTTCACTTCACTTTTCCTATTTGTCTTCCTTCAGATCATGTTAGCTAGAATAGCGATTTGGGTTGTTGCTAGTCTTGCAATATTCAATATTGTTATTTATTATTTTTATCTGAATCTTCAAAGCACGTTTTATGATTACTGTGTGGAATATTCTTGTTCATGATTCCTAGTTATCCCAACTATTTGGAATTGATCATGGTCTAGTGATCTGTTCTGAATTGATTCAGATTCTGTAATTGATCTTATTTTTTGAATCTATGCATCCGCTGCACAAGTTACTGTTAAGACAAGGCACTAAACTGCATGCAGGAGTTTTCGTTTTATTACATGTTGGCTTGTAACCTTGATGATAGGCCTGAAACGAGTTAAAATTATGGCAAAAAGGGCTTAAAACTTATATGAAAATATTTATCTGTATATTTTCTGAGGTGTGTCTGGTTGCTATTTGAATGAACCTATTGATTGTTCTGTTCGCTGTACCATTCATCTTGATTCAATGGATCTCTGAAATTGCTGATTGCAAGGCTAAGTGAGTTTAATTTGCTGGGCCACGTGATATCTGCTATACTAAATGTGTTTTACCTTCCCCTCGAATGTGTTTTTCTGCCTAAAACTCTCGTAAATCTATGGAATCAGAAAATTATTTTCCCCATTCCATCAAAATTGTAATCTTATAGAGAGTTTCACAAATGATTCAACATTAGGGTGAAAAGGGTTTAACAATTTATTGGTAAACTTTTTTCTGTATTTTCTGAGGTGAGCTAGCGTGCCATATCATGAACCTATTGGTTGTTCTGTTGGCTTGTCTATTCATCATGATCTGAACTTGCTGATTGCAAGACTAAGTGAGTTTAATTTGCAGGACCACATGATTCTGCTATATCAAATGTGTTCCACATGTATATGTATCTTTTCTACCTAAACTTCTCAAAATGTTTGTGGAGTCAGAACTTATCATTGGTATTAGTATCGTTGGTAATATTTACAAGTGATGTCTGTTCTTTTTCCCCCAAATATTTTGAATATTACAATTCAAACAATCCTTTTTAAGTCCATTTCACTTATTAATCCTTTATTGTTGTTTTGGGGTTATCCCCATCACTTTCTTCAATTGTGTTAGGGAAACGTTTTCCTCTAAATCGAGCCTGCATGGTTTTATAGGAAAGATGACAGCAGAATATGAATGCTCATGAGCATCCTATTGACATCCTAGATGACGAAGGAACTTTTAATCTTCCATAATTAGTGATTTTGCATTCAAGTCATGCTTATAGTGAGGGAATCATATTGACTCAGACTTATTTGTGATGTTTCTCTAGTATGCATCTTGTGATAATCAGAAATTGGAAAATTTTAGTTGATAACCTAGAAGAAAATGAAGAAAGTCACATGGTCTCGACGTTTATTTAATGGTGCTGAAAAAATTTATTATCAAAATAGTAAAAAATGATCCGGAAGAAATTATAGCACTGACTTGAATTTTAATTGCAGTTTCCTAACAGGGTGGAGCATGCAATTCACAATACAATCTCCTGTACTTGTATATCCTTCATGTTCCATATATGTGATTTTAAAATGGATATATAATCTAACACTTCCAAATGCATATTGGATCAAGTTGTTCACCAAAATATTTTCCTACTAGGCTACTGCCTTGTATAATAATTACTTGAGCTTTTTGTAGTGTGGCACATTCTTTTATAATGATAGTCAGCCATAGAAATTATTAATACTGATTAAGGATATGATAAACATAATGTCTGGGAAAACAAACTTGATCTTTGTTCTTTTTCCTCCTACATTTGTTCTTTTTCCATTCTCTCTCTGTTTCAAAAGTTGAATTTTGATATCAGATGTCATAACAGTTGCAAGTTTTTATTTTTATATATTTTTTAGTGAGTATAGCAGTTGCAACTTAAACCTTCTGTTTCTTGGTTTTGTCAATTTTCTATACAAAAATCTAGTATGAAGAGTCAGCTTTGGTTGTAACTTCTTAGCCCATATGTTATAGAGAAGTAATGCACAATATTTGTAGTTACACCCTCAAAGCATTTATTATTGATGCACAAGTAGTTCATTCATTTTTTATTATTGATGCATGTCTCTTAGTGCCTAGAAACACATGCATTTATACCATAATTGGTTCTGTTGTTCGGTTGGATGAATGGCATCTATTACAAGGATGAGATAGTTATAGGGGTTTTTAATCCAAGAGCTAAGCAAACTTTCGTTCACCATCTTGCTTTACTGAGATTGTTAACTAATGTCGTTATGCAGATGTGCATTCTTATATTTATGGGGACAAATGGTGAGACCTACTTCAATACTGCAGCTCTGGTCTCCTGTGTGCAAAACTTTCCAAAAAGCCGTGGTCCCGTGGTGGGAATACTAAAGGGATTTGCCGGGTTAAGTGGTGCAATTCTGACTCAAATATATGCATTGATTCGTACCCCTGATCACGCTTCACTCATCTTCATGGTTGCAGTTGGGCCAGCAATGGTGATTATTGCCCTTATGTTCATTGTCAGACCTGTTGGAGGTCACAAACAAGTCAGACCATCTGATGAGATGAGTTTCTCATTTATCTATAGCGTCTGCCTCCTTTTGGCTGCTTATTTGATGGCGGTCATGCTTGTTCAAGATCTAGTTGATTTGAATGAAAATGTGATCATAATTTTCACGGTGATTTTATTTATTCTTCTATTAATCCCCATTATAATTCCTGTCTGGTTGAGTTTTTTCTCAGAGACGAGAGATCCGGCAGAAACAGCTCTTCTGCATGAGCCACAGAAACAAGGACCAAGCCAATCCGAACATGATGTGAATGAGGTTATATTTAGTGAGATGGAAGATGAGAAACCTAAGGAATTAGACTTGCTTCCAGCTTCAGAGAGGCAAAGGAGAATCGCCCAGCTGCAAGCAAAGCTAGCCCAAGCAGCAGCAGAAGGAGCTGTGAGGGTCAAGCGGAGAAGGGGCCCACATAGGGGGGAGGACTTTACCTTGACACAGGCTTTGATAAAGGCTGACTTTTGGCTCATCTTTTTCTCACTTCTATTGGGATCTGGATCTGGTTTGACAGTGATCGATAATTTGGGTCAGATGAGCCAATCTTTAGGATATAATGATACGCATATATTTGTTTCCTTGATCAGCATTTGGAACTTTCTTGGTCGTGTTGGTGGGGGTTACTTTTCTGAGATTATTGTCAGGTATGGTCTATAAGCTTTCATTCTTCAATTGGTACTGATTAAACTTCATTGGTTATCTTGGTTTTTAGACTTCCTCATTCAACCTCACGATTTTTCTCGAATAGGGACTATGCTTATCCAAGGCCAGTGGCCATGGCTGTTGCCCAAGTCATAATGGCATTTGGGCACTTGTTCATTGCTATGGGTTGGCCTGGAGCAATGTACATTGGTACTCTGCTGATTGGGCTTGGGTATGGGGCCCACTGGGCAATTGTGCCGGCTGCTGCCTCCGAGTTGTTTGGCTTGAAAAAATTTGGAGCGTTGTACAATTTTCTCACTCTGGCAAACCCTGCTGGTTCCCTAGTCTTCTCTGGTGTGATTGCAAGCAGTATATATGACAGTGAAGCAGAGAAGCAAGCTCATCGACCACACCATCAACGAGATCTGGGATCAATAATTTTAGGCAGCCTTGGCTCGGATGAACCCCTGAAGTGTGAAGGTTCCATATGCTTTTTCCTGACATCTATGATAATGTCAGGACTTTGCCTTATTGCAGTTGTTTTAAGCATGATTCTCGTCTATCGCACTAGAAGTGTGTATGCTCACCTTTATGGAAAATCTCAAACATAGACTCGTGGGAAGAGAACCTACATGGCTTTCAGAACTTGATTATTTTGGATTATTATATTTTGTGCAAGATAGTGGAGATTCTACTGTTTCCAACCTATGTAAAGATGTTCATTGAGAGATGATGATGGCAAACATACGTCATGACAGCTCTCCAGAGAATGAGGACCAGATGTACTTGGGGTATTACCACACTCTTCTACTAACCCAGATGGGTCTATTTTGTTGAGTGATGTTACATCTTCTGTTTTGAATGTCAAGTGTTGTATCTTGTCAAACTTGGATTAAACTGTTGATCATTAAACTCGGCTTTGTAAACCATTTTGTAATGAATCCTGCTTTCAGCAGAGGATTCCTTTTCCGATTTCAGATCTTTTATGTTTTAGCATCAACACGCTCTGGTTCAATAAAATTAACGGTTCATACAGAGTAGGCCACGACAAATACCGTATCTCACCGCATGGTGGTGATGCCCTCTTAGGTAGGAACTTGTCTGATGCACATGTAACATAGTCTTGCTTTATGGGTTATAAACTAGGATTATACCAAAAGAATGCCCCCAGTTTTGTGGCAAGCGTGTTATCCATCCACAGAATGAGAAAGCTTTATGATGTTTCAGAGGAAGAGGATTTTGAAGCACACGGGAAAGGAATTTATCATCATGCATCAGGTCTGTAACCTAGTAACCATTGCCAGACAATTTTTGGTCCGTATTAGTGATGATGATATTCCTAATTATTTTCAATATTTTCCTTTCGTGCTTACGAGACCGAAGTTTCTAAATTTTCATAGGGCTTTTTTTGTTTGTTGTGAAAACTGGTATTGCTGGTTAAGGACCAGTTTTGAACTGGTTTATAAAATAGTCCGTTTAAGTGAATCTTAACTTGAAATGTTAACAAATCAATGAAATTTGAACCATACACAACCTTTTTTAGGAGAAAAAAAAGTTATTTCTGAACTCTGAAATATATAATTGTGGACTGAAAATTATTAGATAACCCACCTGTATCTACAAAATAGATGATTGTGATAATTTCTTTACGGGTCTTATTTCATATGTCTCTTTGTGTTCCAAGGTTTAGCATGAAGCTTGCCCTTACGAATTGAAGCTTGTGCAATCTATTCTGATCTGTCCTTGGCTACCAGTCTTGACTCCCACCCGGCCAAGCTTCTTCATTGCAGTGGCAAATGCACCGTTAAACTCATTCGAGTTTTTAGCAAAATCATTGACAGTTGACTGAGACGCTGTGTTGGTGAAGAGCACTTCATCTGAAGTGAACAGACCCTTCCCTCCAATGAGATTCTGGTAATAGACATTGTCAAAAGTTCGTGGGGTCACAGGATCCATGTCAACAGCGATGCTGGGATCTACATTCTGAGGACATGCTTGCATCAGCTGCTGAGCATAGCTTGAGTCCAGTGAAGGGTCCACAGGAGAGGATGAAGAGAATGAGTAGAGACGATTTGCGAAGCGGTTGCAGTGGGAAAAGCCGACAGTGTGAGCCCCAGATAACGCAATCATATCAAACTGCGTAAGATTGTTCTTGGCAAATATGGTGTTTAGTTGATTGAGATTGAAGGAAGGCCCTGGAAGATTTCCAGCAACATCAGATGCCTGGGAGACTAGTCCATCACGACGTCCCAACTCTACACTGAAGGAAGGACCTCCAGCCTACAAATAGGTTTCATTTCATCAGATTAAACAAAAAGGTATAATGTGAATCTTCGATTCAAAGTAGAAATAGCATGGTAGTGAATGTATACCAGGACTACAACATCTCTGCTAGCAATTGCCAAGATGTCAGCACATGATACTACCCCAGGGCACACTGCTTCGACTGCTTGTTTTGCCTTGGTCACAGTATCGAAACCGTCTCCTGCGAGGGAGAGATTATCTGGAGCATCCTTTTCTGCATCCCCATTCGGTGACGAAATCATAATCGAGGCATCGCATCCCTGCCAATTGCAAAGGAAAACAGGGGATGGATATTTTTTTAAGGTACATAAACAGGGGAAGAATAGATGAGAACAAATAATGGGCAAAATCAGTATAAAGTCAATGACTATGCTTTGTCATTAATTGCCATCAATCCATTCAAGCAATTGAATTAGTCCATTATGGTGTTCTTTTGACATTTTAGTGCAGGTTAGTTGGTTGAAAGGTGACAAAACAATAGGAAATTCCCATGAAAAAAGAAATAGAAAAAGAAAAAGAAAAATAAAAAAAAAATAACAACAAAGAAAAAATCAAACTGATCAAATTCATGTCATGTCAAGGTCGCAACAGAAGCATTCAATTTCAGCATGAAAACCAAACAGCCTGAAAATGTTTTGAGATAAAAATGCAACCGTGTCTTCTATTTGAATAAGTAATTTAAAATTTAAATGAATGTATGGTATTTCTATGTGAATACCCATCATTTTTTATAACATAACTATAATATGTAGCAGTTACAGAGATGCCATGACAGGCTTCAGCTACTTCAAAATCTGTCATATGATTCAATGGACTTTCAGTCATATGATCATAACTCGAGATTTTTAAATTTTGAGATTCTCGACACATTAATATAAACTGAGCATGAACAGATGATTGTACAGAAAGGCATAAGAACACCACAAAGTATGGTACCTCAACAAAACAGTCATGGAAGAATAAGCGAAGTGTGGCCGGAGCTGTGGTGAACGTCTGGCTGAACTTTGTAGATACCACCTGATTCACGATGCTTTCCACGTTCGGACAACTTGAGCTGTAGAAATTCTCTACTAATTGCCCTTCTCCTCTCTCCATGACTATCATCATCACCATTACCAAAAATAATCCTCTCCATGCCTCCATTAATCTTTCTCTAATTGAACACAAATTTCACCTCTGTGTGTGTGTGTATAGTTCTTGGAGGGCTCCCATATATATAATATAGGAGATGAGGAGCGAAGGGAGAGAGATAGAACAGTGACCCTTCTACGAACTAACCATACTTAGAATATTAAACAAAGCAGTTTTGCTTGGTCTAAGCCTGGTCACTATCTGGTATTAATGTGGCTTGTTACACTATTTATTCCCATAAGATGTAAACATGGTATCATTGTCATACTACGAAGTCAAATTGTACCAGTAAATTCTGTAGCTGGGTAGGTCTTTGTCCTATCGTTTAAATTTCTACATTTGTTAGGGCAGTAGTAGGGCGTACACGGTTCGGATTGGTTCGGTTCTGAGAAAATTCAAGAACCGAATCGATCCTAACGGTTCTATGATTTTGAGACCATTATACTTGTAAAACCGGACCAGAACCAAACCGAAAAAATTGTTCGGTTTTGGTTTGGTTCACGGTTCAAAAAATTTCTATTTACAAAAATAAATTATTAATATTAGCAAAATAATTACTCAAACTAATTACATTTAATTCATGATAAAAACTAATAATATTAAGGCATTACTCAACATTACATATCTATACTATCCTAATATCATTAAAATTATAAAAAATCAATTAATAAAAATAAAATTTGATATTATATATATATATATATCTTTTAAAATTCGGTTCGGTTCGATTCGGTTCGAACCGCGGTATTTTCATAAAATCCATTAACCGAACCGTTTGTACGGTTCTCATATTTCTTAATCTGAAACCGAACCAATTCTTAATAGAACCGAACCAAACCGGACAATTCGGTCTGGTTCAATACGAATTATCGATTTGAACAGATTTTTGAACAACCCTAAGCAGTAGCGTTGGTCGAGAAGATACAACCAGGAATGTTATTTATACGGAAAATGAAATGCGTGGTTGATTGGATGTAACCTACACCGAACTTGTTTTTTAATGAAGATCATACATTTTTCTTGTTTTTTCGGGTACTTTTTCTATACACATTTTCTGTTTACTACTTTAGTGGATAACACCTTTGTTGTGAGATGTTTCGTATTTATTACACAACTATAAGGGGCTTTTTGAGAGGTGAAGGGTCGAGGCTGTTAGACCAAGAATATTGCTATTTTCAAGTAGAGATTGAAAATGTTACAGTGAAATATAGTTGCCGAGAGTTTGAGGTCTTGTTTGGGAATCAGTCCGTTTAGTCAAAAAGTCAAAAAATTATTAAAAAAGTCAAAAAACTATTAAAAAAGTCAAAAAACTCACAATCCATACCAAAAAGTCAAAGATTCTCTTTAATCTCTACTTTTTGCACATCTTTTCATAAAAAGTTAAAAAATCATCCCAAATAAACTAATTTTTTTAACTCATATTTTAGTCAAATAATTAAAAAATTATTAAATTAACCTGTTCCCAAACGAGACCTGACCCTTCTTGTAATTGTTGTTGTATATAGTAGATTTTGTTCGCTTCCTTTGTCATGGACGTAGGCTTCCCACTGAATCACATATATTATTACACAACAACCTTGGTGCTTCAAATCGCATGGCAGGATTCAATTCCATACATCTCTTCCCAGTCCTGCAAAATTTTCACTGCAAGACACTAATATACAAATATACTTAGGGATCGTGAAAAAGTATCATGAAATATTTTATGAATTTTTTTTATTCTTTGATTAGTGTGTGGTGGTTTATTATATGTGTAATCTAATGGTGGAGAAACTTTCATGATTATTTTCATGATATTTTTTTCATGATCCCTAATACTACAATTAAAAATACAAGGGAAAAAAACAACAATGTTAGGTATCATGAAAAACGTTTCATGAAAATAATCATGAAAGCTTTGTGACTGTGTGGGTGATTTTTCGACCACACTGCCCGCTTAGTAATCAGCTGGAGAGTACTGGCAGAATAGATGGCACCTGACTGACCTGCAACAGAAATATAAGAATCCCACGGTGGTTTCGACCACCCGGGGGCACTCCAACGATCAAGTCAGTATATCTCTCAAAGATAAATCAATTACCAAAATTACTGCTCAAAGCATAAAACTCATACCTTAGACCCACGGGGGTGCCTCTCTTTTATAGCCAATACAATCCTAGTCTCAATAGGAGCCTAGCTTCTATGGACTCCAATTTAATACTGACTTTGGACTCTTCAAGAGATAAAGATAAACTCCCTAAGAGTTTTATCCTTATCTTGGCTAAGTCTTCTCTTTACTCTAGGACTCTTGTCCCTTATCTGCTTATCTCGGATTCCGATATCTTCGGAGATCACCTCGGCCTCGCCAAAGATAACCTCGGCATATGTTTGGGAGGGAATATGATTTTGTAAGAGGCAATGACAATGGCGGTGGTTCTTCCACCCGGGGGCACTCCGACGATCAAGTCAGTATATCTCTCAAAGATAAATCAATTACCAAAATTACTGCTCAAAGCATAAAACTCATACCTTAGACCCACGGGGGTGTCTCTCTTTTATAACCAATACAATCCTAGTCTCAATAGGAGCCTAGCTTCTATGGACTCCAATTGAATACTGACTTTGGACTCTTCAAGAGATAAAGATAAACTCCCTAAGAGTTTTATCCTTATCTTGGCTAAGTCTTCTCTTTACTCTAGGACTCTTGTCCCTTATCTGCTTATCTCGGATTCCGATATCTTCGGAGATCACCTCGGCCTCGCCAAAGATAACCTCGGCATAACTACCACGACACGTGGCACCTCGGCTGACACGTCGGCGTCACCATGCCACGTGTTGGTACTCAGAAAATATATCCCCACAACTGCCCCCTAGGTTCTATTACCTCAGCATTCTGAGGTGATGGAACCTATATCGATATCTCTTTCTATACATTGGCTGACAAACTCTTCAGCCGAGATCATTTATTTCAAGCCGACATGTTCTCTTCGGAGAACAAGAATTCCAGTGAACTTTCTCACGCGCATGAGCTGTCATGCATCACTTCTCAACCGTTTCTCTTACGCGTCTTTACCTTATTGGTCCGTGTTTGTGACGCGCTTATAAACCACGTTTTTCCTGCGTACGCCGCCTGACGTATGCGCTGCTCCAGGCGCATTGATTATCTTTTGCCACCGTTTTTGGTTTTTGACAAAAACTCTTCCTTCTTTTTTCATTTTTTTCACTATTGCATTTGCTGTTTCTCTCTCTAAACTCGTTCTCTCGAATCCGTCATTGCTGAAGCTTCCAAGCTCTATGTTTGTCTTCCTAGTGGAACTTTCGTCGTTCTGCCACATCTGTAACTACCGACTGATTTCGGCAGTCCTCACATCGGCTTCATTTTTTCTGGTAAGCAATTGTTCCTTCTGATTTCAATTCTTGACCATTTCTGAAATTTCATGTTATTACTGCCTTGCTCAAATATCTATTTTGTGAATCATTCATCTGAATGTGTTTACTCTTTGATTTGGCCCTTACCTATACCTTGAACACACGCACCGTTGCACCATTTCACTGTATTTTTGCCACTGGTCTTGGTCCTTTATTTCTTGTATTCTTCATGTTCTTGATAGCCCATCCCTGTTCTTGTTTCTGAAACTCCGCCTTTATTTTTTGTTTTTTGTGTCTTTGTCAGATCTCTACCTTCAATTTTTACTTTCAATCTTTGCCTTCATAGATTTAGGTTTGGGATTTGTCTATAGAATCTATCAATTCTTAGAAAAAAACTGAAACAATCCTTACTAGTATATACCTAGGGTTTCGCCGAGGTCCGCTAATCCTCTTAAGAGCATCTTCTTTCTGAAACCTAGCCCTCTGATTTTAGGCCGACGTTATGGGTATGTGGAGACATAGGGTAGACACCCTGACCAAACTTGAGTACTTTAGGCAAGAGTTCTCTATTCCTGTCGATGTCCATCTGAGGCTGGCTGAAGATAACGACTCCATCATGCCCACAGATGATTCAATGCCCTTTCTCATAGTAGCTTTTACTGAGTGCGGACTCCGGCTCCCACTTAACATTCTCTTTCACAAAATTCTTTACTTTTACAAGTTGAACCCTATGCAACTTGCCATAAACTCTTATCGAGTGATCAATGGCATCATATTTTTAGCTAGGTAGGAGAATGCTAGGATCACCCTTGCTGACATCCAGTACTGTTATACCATGTGCTCCCTTAACCTGAAGGAAAAAGACTACGTCTATTACCTCAAGCCGAGGTCCACTGAATTCAAAATCGTAGCCGACCTTCCAGACTCCAACAAGGGGGCTGGAGATGATTATGTTATTGCTTCGGGAAATTGGGAGTTTGGCGCAGACGAGGACACCCATCTCTACCCTCTTCCCCGATCAGTTAAAGAGGGCAAGGGTAAGAGCCCAGCGTCAATACTTAGTTGTTTCTGTTCAAGTCTTCAATATTTTATCTGTTTCTAATGTTTGTTTTTTCTTGTAGACATTCGTAAGCCACCAAAAGACTTTCGCCAATCCTACATTCCCAGCAAAGACTTAAAGAGGCTCCTAGATCTGCCAATCCAAAAGCGCAAGGCTCCACTGGTACTGAATTTTATTCCGACGTACAAGTCTACACTGTCCGACGTCCCAAAAAGAAAGAAGAAGAGCTTATCTCCTCCTTCTGCTGCCACTTTACAAACCGCATCAACATCTCGGGCTGACCAAGAGTCAACCTCTGATCCAGCCGATCAACCATCAACTTCAGCTCCATACTTGGTCCCAATATCTGAAAGAAAACGTCGGTGACGACTTGTCAAAACTGCTGAGATGGGTCGCCCGAAGCCTGTTGCCCAAGATCTCCTACCCGACCTCCCAGTTGATGTTGATGCTGGACCAACCCAATCCATGCTCCCACCAAAGCCAAAAAGAACAAAAAGGGTTCAGCCTAAGGCCAAAGCTACTGAGGTTGAGGCTGAGGATGCTTTGCCCATCTCACAATTGGCTGAGAATAAAAAAACTGCTTCTGCTTCTGCAAAAAGGTCTGCTGAGGCCCAGCCATCAGAGTCCACCCAATCAAAGAAGCCGAGGTCATCGTCTGCGACGTCCTCGGGTTCCAGAATACCAAAAGTCCCCTGGACACCTGAGATCACTCTAGAAGATAAGCATGTCCTTGCCAGCGACAACGCCGATGATATAAACGTCGGC